GTATTTTTAATAAATTCTAGACGCGTAAAATTTAAATAATTATTAAACATATTTTTCTTAATTTATTTTTATTTTTTTTACACTTTTTTTAAAAGTGGACAAAATATAAATGTTGGTTTAAAAAATAATTAAAATGAAATTACATTAATTTATAATAATTAAATTTTATATTTAATCTAATACCACATTATTTCCTCTTTCTTTTGTAATTATTAGGGCTGTCCAATATATTGGATCGGAAATATATCAGAATCGGAACGCCACCGATAATGATCATTATCTAAATAAATTCGGATCGGCTCGATATCATTTAAAAATCGATTCAATCCTAATTTTTTTTTAAAATAAATAATAAGATTGATCAATCGCGTAAATAGAATAAATTTTATCCCTGGCACACCCCATAATCTTTTTTAACATTTTTTTTATAAGGGACTTAAATAAAGGTATTTTGAATTTGATAAAATATTCATGAAATACGATCATATTTATAACATAATTATGGGTTAATAACAATGTATGATTTACTCTTCATTCATTGTTAGAGAGATTTGGTGGTAAATTATATAAATAACACCCTGTATTTTTAAATCATCTGCCGCGAATTCGAGCAAACTGTGAATGAGGGGTTACCCTGCATACAAGTTGGCATAAATTCTTGGCGAAATATACAAAATATGCTGAATTTTTGTGTATTTTTATATACTTCGCTGTGAATTCGCACTAATTATGAATGCAGGGTAAGATCGAGATTAAAAATAATCTGAAATTTTGATGAAAAAAAAATAATTTATTCTTCTTCTAACATAAACATTGACCTTACTAGAATTTTGAAAAGAGAACGTTTTAGATATAAAATATAAAGACTTTTTGGAATTCTTATTCTATAAGAAAATAAATGGAGTAATATAAATATTCTGGTTAAAAATTTTTAAAATAAATATTCCAAAAGCTTAAAAATTAAACAAATATAACATTTCACAAGCAATTTTTTATTAATTAAAAATTCAGATCGGTTTTTAATATCAATATCGGGTCGGATCGGTTTCTAAAAAATATTTTCAATACCTGATCAGACCGGTTTTTAGAAAATATTTTCAATGACAGATTGGATCAATGAAAAAAATTGCGGATCGGATATCCCTAGCAATTAACAATAATTTCTTAAATATTTTATTTTGTATTTCGCGGAATAATCTTTTTTTTTAATGTTCCCTTTCAATTTATTTTCTTTTTTTTTAAAAAAAATTTAGAAATTTAAAAATAAAGCATTGTCTAAATTTAGGTTTATCTTTTACTTTAATTGCTTTATTTGAATTTTAAGAGTGTCAAAATAAATAATAATATGTATATAATCCAATTAACAAAAATAAAATTAATTTTTTTCCCCCATTATATTAATAAAAATCTCATTTTTAATATTAAAAAAACGGAAATTGAGCCCTGGATTTATCAACATAGCATTAATGATAATAACCTAACTCAAAAAATCAGCAAGTTATGGAAATTTCTTTTTTAAAATAAGTAATTAGGGTTAACGGTTAGGAGGATATAGGTTAGGGTTAATTAAAGGTTTGAGATATATGGGTTATTTTTATGATATATTGATTTGATGATATATTGATTTAATTAAATCATTTTTTATTAATAATTTGTCAAATCTGACATGGTCATGTGATTAAAAATAATTTCCTTAAGTTGGACCACAATCAGCATTATTAATATAAGCTTCGTTTATAATATATTTTGTCTATCGAAATAATTAAAAATGACCATGATTTGGTTGGCATAGGCTAATTTTCTAATTGTTTTTAGTTTGTCAGTTTAAGGTATAGATCTGAAATAAGTGGGTTTTTTGTATGCTCATATCTTAAGCGGGGCGACCGGTTAAAGATATTTTTAAAACGATGGGTTTAGGAGAAGGAGGGGGGGAAGGGTGAAAATATTTTTCTGTGGATATGAGCATTTATTTTTAAAATATATATTAAAATAAATTAAGAGACGAATCAACATCAAATAATTTTTCATTAGGGGAGGGGGGGGGGGTAAAAGTTAAACAAAATTTTTAGCTAAGAATGGAAGGAACGGACAGGCGGATTGATTTTTTTTTAATTACAGATCTTAATTTAAGATGTGCCATTTTATTTTATTAAACTTCACTAGCCATTATATTCTTTTGAAAAAGGCTTCTAGGACCGCTCATAGGCATAGCCAGTATTTTTTGGGGGAAGAGGGAGGGGTGGGGAGGCTTTTAGGTGCCATTGTAATATTTTATTGAAGGACTTTAAGTTATCATTTTGGGAAGCAAATAAACAATCGTTAATTAGATAAGAATCATTTGACTTAAAACCAATAGGTCTTTAAAACAATTGAATTTCGAAAAAAAAAATAATAGTTTAATTGGTTATTGTCACAATTTATAATATTTTTTGGAGAAAATTTATAAGTATTATTTTATATAAATTTCTTATCCCCTTGGCAAATTGTTTCGATGACAAAGCGAAACCATTTATAGAAGAAAATGAATTAAATTTTTAACCAAAAAAAGTAAGAATAACACGTATCAATGGTGGAACTAAGTATAGAGTTAGGAAATGGAGTCCCGATTAAGTTAAATAGAGAACTAAGACAGTGGCAAATGACCGCTATTATAAAGATATATATATTACATAAATTATGCTTAATATTTTCCTATTTCTAACATTTATTACAAATTATTTATATATTGTATAAATATTACCTACATTATATTCTAATCTGCTCATTCACGAATCCCATTTTGAAAATGTCGAAAATGATTTATTTATTTTAAAGTTTAGATAAATTGGGGGTTTTTAGGTCGCCAAAAGCATTGGCATGGACCTGCAATTAGAAATCCTAACGAATCAAGATTGTATTAATTACAGATAGAGGATCTATCACCTCATAAGTAGTGATAATTTTTTTTGAAACGTTTTCGCAATCTTTCTTTCCTTCTTTCTTTCTTATAGAGAAAAAAAAATGGAGTAATAACCCCTGGAAATCACAAAATATTTTATTCCTTATTGATTTTAAAATTATTTTATTGTTTATTTTTATCTAAATTCTGAAGGTATAAATGATAAAGTATTTTAATTTGTTTAAAACAAACTCTCAGCGAGAAAGCCATTCGTTCTTTCCTTCTCAACTTTCCTATTTTATTTAACGAAAAAATAATCACGTGCTCGTTAGCGATAGTCATTCAAAAATCATATATAATTAATAAGTTCAAAATGGACATTAATTAAAGCTATTTTTAAAATAAATAAATAAGTAGTAATTAAGTTTAAAAGGATAATGCTCTCTTTTTTGTTATAAAATGGTATATATTATATGACAAGATGGTATCTTAAAATATCTTAAAAAAATGTTCACACTTTTAGAAAAAAAACATACTTACATACGTATATATACAGACAAGGTTGCCTAATTTTGGCTCTTGATAATTTGGTCATCTCACTAATTTGACCACCATTCCGAGCCCCATTCATATTCCTATTAACTACTATGTAAAAATGCCTTGATAAATTGGGCAAATGTCTACCTTGCAGAATTTAATATTTTGTCCATTTGCACAAGACCTCTATTAAGTGGGCATTTGCTGTTTTTGTTGCATTCATTCATTTATATTATAAAATTTTATCATCTATTTAAAACTATTCAGAGTCATATAACAAAATTAATAAAGAAAACAAGTATAAGGCGTTATCGTTAATTAAGAAAATTAAGGTTATTAAATTTCTAAAACATTATAACTCAAAGAGATTATGCTAAAAGATTTAATATCTCTAAAGGAATTATTTTACAATATTCATAAATCCATAGAAGACATTAACAAACTCCAAGCAAATAAAACATATTTTTGTAAGTCGTATTGGGTTAAGGAATTTATGAATTTCGTATAATTCTATTGAGAGCGATTTTTAAATTTTTTGAAAGTCTTTAACCGGAAATATATTGCAACATAAATAGAGTAACTACCCTATAAATTTCGATTAAATTTTGTTATTAAAAATAGTGTAATTCAAAGTTTCAGGGTCGGGTATGGGCCTTAATACTATATTTTCTAGCGAGTCTGGGCCAGGCCTGGGATTCTTTAAATATTTAATGGGTTTGGGCCTAAAAAAATTTCGTTTAAATATAGCATATTTAAAACAGTTGCTAGATCAAAGAAATATTGCAAATTTTTTCTTCTATTTGTAATAAAAAATTTTAATATTGCAAACTAAATACACTAAAATATTATTCATTTTCATTGAATGCAATAAATTATATTTTTGATATGGGTTGGGCCTGGCTTGGGCAAAATTTTTAGAACTTATTATGGGCTTGAGAATTTTTTGTTTTTACTGCGAACCTAGGCCAGGCAAGACCAATGAAGATCTCTGATCTCAATACTACATATTAATGCATAATTTTCCTCAAATTTGAAAAAGGTTGAACATTTTTGCTATACTAAAACTCGAACTGATGGTAAAATGTATTTTTTCTAAAGTAAAAAGTCTTGATAAATTGGGCAACTGTCTAAGTTGGGCAAATATTTTGGTTCTAACCGTGCCATAGACAGATTTGACTATACACAAAGGGGCATTTTCATAACATCCACCCCCCACCCACCCCAGTTTCTGTAAGGTGATCCCTTAATTTTCTAATAATATAAATGGATTCAAAACTTGTCGTTCTTAATGACCATAAGATTCTTTTAAATAGTTATAAGAATTATAGAGAATAGTTATATTGTCTATCTCCATTTTTGTCGAAATTAATCTTCTTCATCTAATTTTGGATTGTGTAAAATGGAGTTAAAATATTTAATTTCTAAATCTAAATTACATAATATAAGTTGTTTTTGTTAAATATTATGGCATATACAATATAGCACCAGCGTCTCCTGTGCCAACAGTATAATAAGCGACCGATATTTATTAATAGTGGTCTGGTATATATGTATATAAATACACTAAAAATATATATGGTAAAACCTATGATGAGTGACAATAAATCCGCCACGGCTAAATTAAACAAATAATAATTGGTGGCGGTATGCAATGACGCTGTTTTGATTATGACAACGCAGGTCAGTAGATTTCCCAGCAGCCCTGTTATCAGAATCACAGAATAAATAACGGTTATAGGAATGAGCACCTTGTGCGCCAATTGTTTGGAACCCAGAATTTGGGTTAGATTGAGTTCGTGCGAAGGTGAATTCTGAGTAAAATTTTTTTGCCAGGGCTTAACTTTGTCAGTGACAGAATGGGGATAAGATGTATGTGTGGTGACTGTTGATAATATTGATATATTTGGAATGAGAAAAGTTTGTTGAGAAGAATTCCATGATTGTTGGTTCCAAAAATATCTCGAAGAATCGTTAGAAAAGCCCTCCTGGGGGTTAGACGGACCGGTCCAATCTGTTATGTTAAAAATATCTTTTGCGTATACTGCACAAATGGCATTGGCCATTAAAAGCGTAAAAGCTTTGCTCTTCTTTTTATTAAAAAGATTAAATTTCTTAATATTTTGAATGACATCTTTTTTTACGAATTTGTTATTGTAGAAAATTTAAACTATTAAAACTGTTATAAAAAATATATATAATCCATTTGTATTTAGCAAAGTTTTCTAATATATAAAATATATTATTATTTTTTTTCCGTTTTTTTTGTAATTTAATTATTTTCTAATAACAAAAAATTTTAAAATAATTATTTATTTATTTTTAAATTGAATTGATTGTCGATATACATTTAAATTATTACAAAATTATCGACTCTTATCAATATTTATACAAATTATCGAGTTATAAATCAAACATAGATAATAAAAAAAATAAAATTTTTCAGAATTTTAAGATTTATAAATAAATATTTCTGTCTCGTTATATATTTGATCCTTATTACCTTTTCTTTTCCATAATAAATGTTATATAATCGAGTACTATAATAAAATATGTAAACAGGTGTGTAACCAAGAGGAAGTGGGAAATTTCCTTCTCCATCGGAAATTTGCCTATTCTTGTATCATTTTATGTAGACATCCTCCTGCATACACCCCCTTCCCCACCCTTCCTAAAAATGGATACAAGATAGATATCATTAAAAACAATAATTTGAAATAAAATTAGTAAAAGTTAATAATTTTATTAAAATAACGACTATAATTCAAAATTTTTATAAAAACAATAGTGAAAATCCAAAATCATTTTTATAAAAATATAATATAGTCAAAGGTCTTCAATAAGTGGCCCTAAATACCTCCAATATATGGCGAAAAAGACCTACCAAATCATACTTTCCTCCTTCCCCCTATAGAAAAATTCTGAATACGCTTATATAAGACCTTAATAACAAATTAAAAAGATAATAAAAGTTTTCCCTAGAAAAATAATATTCTATTAAAATTATTTTTTGGAATGTTCTTTCTCTTCTTTTTGCTCCTAGCCCCCCCCCAACATAAATAAAAGATCTTTGATAAATGGGAGGGGGCGGAACTACCCCGAATGATCAGTGGAAAATAAAATTTTAAAGGAAAAAATCAAACAGGAATAAGAAAATACTTTAAAATTTTTAGGTCGAAAATTATTCTTATCTTTTTAATTGTGTTTGTTTATCCTATAGATATAGAAGTTTGCAAATGGCAAAATTTCTAGGCCCGGCACACCCCGGTGGTAATTTAGTCATTACCCGACCGGGCCAAATTTTTGTCCAGCCCGGTTTCAATTTTTTACTAAGGTTGCCCGACCCTGCTTTCAATTTATTTATTTTAAATTCAAGGCTTAACCCGAAATGTATGTTATTGAACACCAAAATAAACAACTATTTATAATATTGGGGAGTTGGTTATATCAAAAACACTTTACTATGTGGATTATCATTTCTATGAAATATCAATCAAATACATATATTTAAAAAAATTATTCGACCAGTTAATTTTTTTTACCCAGCATCGGGTACCAGGTCGGGCTTTGCGGATCTTTAATATCCATGACGTCAGAAATATTTAAAGGGGAATTAGAAAATTTTTCAGCTTGGTTGAGCTCCAACAAGTCGCAGGCAGGGTGGGGTTTGGCCCTAAGCTTATTAATGAATAAGGTAGGGTTGGACTGAGGCATATGTATATATATTTATTTATTTTTTAATCGAGCATAAATATAAAATTATTTTGCAATTTGATTTAAACCTAAAATCGTGCAAATTTATGATTTATTCGTTTACAAAAAATTATTCCGTATCGGACAAGCTTGTACGGTCCAACCAAAAACTTGCCAAATCGTGCGATGTCAAAATATATAAACACAGAAACAATGCATAATTAAAAATATATAAATCATAAGTTGTTTTATTACTTAAAATCCAGGAAATTGAAACTTAAATAGCAAGAAATAATCAAAAAATTACTATTCTATGGCGGCTTTCAACTCACGGTAGAATTTTAGGGTGAAAGAAAAGGGCGTCGAAATCCTAGAATTTTCAATTCTCTATTATTCGTATTTTTGGGATTGATTTTTACCAATTATATTTAATTTATCTAATGTTTAACATTTATTTTCATTTCAATGAAATTGTGCCACTGAAACACCCCAGGTTATGGGTCTTAAAAGTTTGTATCTACCACGGGGCCAGGGGGTAAGATTGGGCTTAAAAAATCCTTTTGCAGGAATCTACCGTAAAGATCAAACGGTACTTCTAGCCAAATATAGAATTTTGACTCTATTTCAGAATAAAGTGTAGGTGGGGGGGGGGGGGGGGGGGTAGGAGATTTTTATATAAAACAAGTCATCACCCAATACTGAAATGTTATATTTATCTTCATTCAAAATTTTATTAAATTGTTTTAGAGCATATTTTCTATCCCTCTATACTGCGCTATATTTACCTAAACTCGATATTTTAATAATAATAAAATATGAATATTTATAGATATTTTATAAAATATATAATTATTATATTGTATTTGTAATTTGTATATTATATTATATTATTTGATAAAGTAATTGTTTTTCTGTTTTCTATTAAAAATATATATATAATTAAGATAAAATTTATTGTTTGCAATAAATAGCACTTGTTCAAATAATGAACAGTCTGGAAGTGGAACTTATATTTTGCAAAAATAAAATAAAATAATTTGATTTTTTTTAATGTAGACCTTATTATAGGTTGGGTGCCCTGGTTAGATATTTTGTCCGTTTTATCAGTGATCCAAACCAAGCACAAGCCGTACCGTTAAACCAGCATTACCGCTTATTTACAGATCACAACCCAAACAGTTAAAAATTATATTAAGTGGTCCTAAACTGCCTCTAAATGTCCGCATCGAACTTTATGATATCGTAATTGTTTTAAATATTAACAATAAATTGAATATTAGTTAGAATCGGTTCGAACGGGTTTTAAAATCCAACCGATATTATTATCTTTTTGGAACTTTAACATCCTGAACCTAAAACTGAACCGAACAAGTTTTTTCGTTCATATCCCTCTCATATCAGGAGCCTCAAGTATAAAAAATACAAAATTATTACCTTTTTAGGAAATATTTTTAAAATGACCTTTTCTGGGAAACATTATCGAAATGATCTTTTTTAAAGCATTTTCCAAAAAAATTAAAAATTTCAGAGGCTATCCAAATTTTTCAGGTCGCTTGAGCCCCCACCCCACATAACGCTACTGATACCTGTATGTTGAATATAAACATTTTTTAAAAAAATTTTTTTTACCAAATTATTCTAAGTAATTTTAAAAACGGCTAACTCAATATTTTAGGCAGAAAAATATTGCCTAAGTCTCGAAATTTCACTAATAAATGTCCAAATGTTTGTGCTATCTTTAAGCAAAGTCGTCAGGCTTGCGTAATATATTTCTGAATAAAATATCAAATCGAGCCGTTTAACACTGATTATTTATTCATAATCCTAGGAATAGTCAAAGGGGGGATTTGGGAAAGTGAAGCCCACTCCCCTCCGAAATTTGCATATTTATATAATTATAATTTTAAAAGTAAAAATGTTTTTGATGTTTAAAACATTTGATTGGTAAAATAAGAAAAAATTGGCATCATGCCAGACAGAAAATATAGAGGTTTTAAATATCTGATTTACACTAAAATTTATGTTATATCTTCAATCAGTTTCTAAATTATAACCGAATTATCAGCAAAATAAAAATCTTAATATAATGCCTTAAGAGTATTTTAGCCAACCTTATGTAATCATTAATTCTGGAATTTCTATCAATAATTGATGCGTATTTAATACGTTTTAATGCTAAGCCTTATTTGGTAGAGTTTAAACAAAAAGCATGATTGACAAAATAAGAAATATTTCAGGATTTGGAAGGAAGCTAGAACAAAAATTTAAATATTTGAATTTCCCAATACCTTTTTTTTGCCTAATTGTTATTTATTAATCAATTTTCTAGGTACTAAACAGAATTAGTTATAGTATTAATAAAAACTATAACATAAACGGTTTTGGAGTTCTAAATCAATGATCAATTACATCTATATAGCTAGGTGCCTTTTTAATCGATTCTAAATATTTTTGAATCTTATGGTTTTACGAATGAGTCTAGATATTGTTTGTTATTTTTTTTATATCCATTTAAAAAAAGAATAGATAAAAGCAATATAAATCGAATTACATTATCCAACCTAACTTTTTTAATCCTTTTTACACATATTATTTATTTTTTAATTTTATATATATATAATTTTATTATATATACATTTAGTGCTGTAAAGTAACGTCAACAAAGTAATGTCGTTACCTTTTTTGAAGAAAAGGAACGCTATTCGTTACCTTCTTTTAGAGGTAACGAGTAACGGTAACGCGTTTCTTTTTTGAGTAAAGGTAACCAAGACGTTATTCGTTACTTTAAATTTTTTCTTAAAAAATATTATAAAAATAAAAACATATTTTATTACACTATAAAATTACTTTTATTTATTTTTTAATATAAATAATTCAGGCGCATAACCAATGGGGATCGCAAATTTGACTGTTTTCATAAATATCATTTTAAGATAATAAAAATTTACCCCCCCCCCCTCCTAATCAAAATTTTACAAATATTTGAATATCAATTTTCCAACATATTATTCAAAAATATTAATAAAATGGAAAAATATCTAGTCAAAGAGATTGAAATCAAACGATAATTTATTTTATTATTATATATATTTATTTTATTAAATTCAAAATTATTAGTGAGTTAGAATTAATAACTATTTTTAATAATATTTTAATTATTAATAAATATCTATAATTTTTTAAATATTTTTCATTTTTACTTCCATTTTGTAGAACAGAAGAAATAGAAATATAAAAGTTAAATAAGGCTGAGCACGAAAAAAAATAATGTGTCGTCAGAAGCGATATCATTATTGAATTCAATTGATCAATCAGAGTTTATCATTGCTGCTAGTTGCATCAATAAATATATTATTTTTAGCTCACTACTTTGTAGAAATTAACAAAAACCAAATTTAGATTTAGTTCAGGTTATTGATTTGGCGGAAAATATATATGAACAGGTAGTAGATACAATAAGAATGAATGTAGATAATTATTTTCATAATATTTATCTAGACGTTGAATCGGAGGCTAAATTTTATGATATAACACTAATTAAACCTCGTCTAGCACCTAGGCCATTATTGAGATGTAAAATAAATATATGCTCACCTGAAGAATATTATAAAATATCCATTTTCATCCCATTCTTAGATACTTTTTTATCGCAAATAAAAGCACGTTTTTTAGATAAAAAACAAGTCTTTAGCAATCTTCAAGTTTTATTATCCAAAGATCCTTCTTCGTTTTCTAATGTGTTGTAATATTTTAAATTATTATTTATAATTGTATTAAAATGATAAAATTAATTATTATAATATATATATTATAAACCTGTTGTTAGCCATGTATTTTGTTGATTTTTGTGAAAAGGAATACAGTGGCAACAAAGGAAAAGGATTTTCATTAATTTGTTTTTTGTTTAAGAAGATGAAATTTTAATAAAGATATATAAATTATTGAAGAAACCAAGAAAATATATTAATTAATAGTGTGTAGTAAATTAAAGAAGAGACAAAGAAATTATACAATTAATAAAGGGAAGAGACAAAGAAATTATACAATTAATAAAGGTAAAGATACTTTGAATTTTAAGATACTTTCAATTTAATTTATTTTCATTTTAATTTACGTCCATTTAATTTACGTTCATTTTAATTTATTTTCAGTTTAATGTACATTCTTATTATAATACCACTATTGGTAAAATTAAATATTTAGCAAAATTTTATTCTTATGAGATTGATACTGAAATAAATTTAATCAGTGAATTCGAATTGTGGTATAAATATTTACTACATTTGGCTATTTTACCTGAGCATGCTATTGATGCGCTCAATCGGTGTAAAGAAACCTTGGCTCAATTTCCTAATATTTTGAAGTTGTTTTATATTCTTGCTTGTTTGCCTATTACAACATGTATGAATGAAAGGACTTTTTCCAACTTGAGAAGGTTGAAAACATATTTACGAAGTACTGAATCTCGGCTAAATGGGTTAGCTCTGTTAAATATCCACAGAGATTTGGTTTCAACGACAAACAAAATTCTTGATGAATTGGCAATATTCCCATGAAAATTAAAAATCACATTATATAGAAAATATTTTGTAAAATATTGTATTTGATAAGAAGTTTAAAAAAACTTGTTAATTTAATTATTTTCTAGTCAATATTTTATACACACTACTATTAGTATTTTCAATAAAAAAATTATATTCTACTTATATTGTATGAGAATTTAAGCTGAGGCTAGTTTTTAAAGCAAATTTTATAAAAAAAATGACATTACACTTTATTTCAACTTTACATTTAAAAAAACTTTATTAAATAATATACCTAACTTGAAATAATAAAAAATAGGCTTGTAATATCCATAAGCAAGAATTAGTAAATAATTAATTTAATAGAATAGCTAAAACATAAGACCCGGCCGAAGACCGGGGGAAAACTGGCCGAAGGCCAGGTAAAGCGGTTTGGGGGCGAAGCCCCCAAAATTTCCCCCCTCCCTCCCCTCTTATAAGAAAATCCTGGATACGCCACTGAAATAATTTAAGCTGAGTATTTAATTCATATCAACCACCATTTCTTCATTTTTATTTTGAATTCTCGTTGTTAAATTTTCATTTGAATGTTAATCTAATTAATATTCAATCAAAATTCAAAGTAAATGTTAATAATAATATTGTTATTTTATTTTATAATTTATTTTAAGAATATAATATCCATAGTGCTTACTTCTTCAGATGAAGATGATTTATCCCTTCTATGGCCTCAATTCAAACATATTTTGCACCAATAAAGAAAATTAAGGGTACGATGTCTACACTTTGTAAATGTAAATTATGTCTCAACGCAAATATTTTAACCTCAATATCCAGCAGTTCAAACTTTTAAAAAAAGTATATGAAAAAAAGATGAATTAATATATTATTATTTTAAACATTACTTTAATAATAGATTATTAAATCATGGATATTAAAAAATAACCATTAAAAAAAGTATTCTTTTATAATATTTTGAAAAGCTTAATCATGATTAAAATATAAGCAATTAACCGTCCGCTATTTAAATTGGACTGGCCCTGGATAAAATTAGAGGTCAACAAAGGAAGAATGCTGGAACTTATTTCCAGTTTGAGTAAAGATCTCGATAAAGAAAGAGCAGACATCCAACACACATACCAGAATATTTTATGATAAAGATTAATATTTTGATGAGAAAATGAATGAAGATCCTTTGAAGATGATCTACTAAGCTAAATTAAGATAATTCTTTAAATATTGTTAATAAATTCACCTAATTAAAATTTTTGTTTATTAAATATAATATAATTATCCCATTCTCTGCGCCAATTGAACACGTGTTTAGCATGGCGAAAGCTGTATTGAGCAATAAGCGCTCTTCTTTGTCTGATCAAAATTTTGAAATCAATTGTTGCTATAAATAAATAAAAAAAATAGTTACAAAAATATGTTATATTATATATTATTTTTATATAATTTTATTTATATTATAAATATATATATGAATTTTTTTTTTATAAAATGATCTAATCTTATATAAATTTTTTGTAAAATTTTATTTATATTATATATTGTGGGAAAAAAATAAATATTTTTTTTTTGTATATAATATTTAATTTTTAAAGTAACGAGTAAACCGTTACTTTTTTGAATAGTCAGTAACACACGTTACTTTTTAAAAAGATTATGAATAAGAACGCGTTCCTTTTTCCAGACGTAAGGAGTAACGGTAACGCGTTTCTTTTTTGTAGTAAATTTTACAGCACTACGTAACATTTATAATGTATTTATATTATATGTTTTGATTCAAAATAATAAAGGTTTAATATAATTGAATCTTGTTTTAGTCTAATTATAAAGATTTTTAATATAATCAGTTATTCAGAGTTGAAAATACGGAAATACTTTACCCTAACCCTAAGGGTAGTCCATAGATTTTTCAAAATTTCCGCATTTATACATTATGTATCCAAACTAGATTTCGTAAATTTCAATAATTATTTAATTTTTTTAAAAATAAAATGCTGCCTTTGGACAAACCCTAAAGGTGCTTGATCCTTTTGTTTCTTGTACTCGGTATCTTTTTGATATTTTATATAAAGATAAAAGATATAGACACTTTAAAAAAAATGAAAAAAGTTATCTTGATACTTTAAAAAATTGACATAATGCTAAACAAAACAGTTTATTTAAAATCATTTCTCTTAATATCTCTTTATATAGTATGTTGTATATTACAATTATATGTACAAAATTTTTTTATTTATAAGAGTAAAATTTTAGAACAATGTAATAAAAATACATCAAACTACATTAAAAATCTTATAAAGTTCATTATTTTTTAGTATCATTAATTTATCTGACAATCTGTCTATTTTGACTATTGACAAGGTATGCAAAGTTAATTAGGCATTCAACTGGAGCTGAAGAGGGAAAAATAGTGTTATTCCTTAGAAAATTTTTTTTGATATATTTATGTAATTGCTGGTATCAAGGCAATTACCTTTAGTTTAATTTAATATTTCTAATTCAATTTTATCAACTTCATCATTTTTAGAAGGTTAAAACTAAAAGAGTATGAAATTGTAGGCTGGTCAAATGCAACTTTGTCATTAATAATAGGATGTGTTTCATCAAGCAACAGATTTGATTTCAAACATTCTTTTATCAACATTATCAATTCATCTAACTTTAAAAAAAATAATTATTTGAAATGAATGCCAAGAAGTCATTTTAAATTCAAAATATTTATAAATCTTAAAAGTTGTAGGCTAATGTAAGTCAGTTTGAAGTAAATCTTGTATACTTCTTTTTATAACAAATAAAATTGAGACCAAATCCCAATAATAACAATTATTTTACCCTATTGCTTATCAATATATTTTTATAATATTTTAGCCAGCATTAGTGTCATTAAAAAAATTAAACAAATTATTATTTGAGGAAGATATCACTAGAATATTAATAATTATTGGTGGGAAATATAAAACAAACCCAAATTTATAACAAATTACAAACTTTATTTAGTTAAAAAATTTTAGGCGCTTGAAACAGATTCTGAAAATGACTTGAAAAATTTCTTGGAGACATAATGTATGAGCAAACATAGTGGCACTGGTTGAAATCCTACAAAGATAATGTAAGTCAGGCAAACAAAACAGATAAGGTGAGACCCAGTGGCATAGCTAGGAATTTTTCTTAGAGGGGGTCCATTAAGAGGCCTTCGGCCAAGTTTATCTTAAAAATCATATTTGTTTTTCTTATAATATAAAAGTCTTAGAATTATTGATCATTTTAATTAGTGTTGTATGACTATAATAATACTATCCAAAATAATTTCAATAAATATAATATCATTCCACAAACATCAAAACCAGAAAAATATAAATATTCATGGTATTTATTTGATATAAATTCACTTTTGAGTGTTTAGAACGTATAATCTTTAAAAAAAAAATTGCTTTGGGGAAGGGGGTCCAAACACGAACTGCCCTTCACCCCTGTAGCTACGCCATTGGACCAGATCCCCATAATGAAAAAGGAAAGTCATAGAACTATAAAAAATGGCCAGCTTGGGTATAGAACAGAGTACATCAGACTCTGAAGGAAATAACTAAGTCAATAAGATGTATTTTTCATAAATTATTGGTATTAAGGATAGAACTATTTTGGAAACATGCTGAGCTATATTGATTTAACATTAGCAATTCCAAATTGTTTGGTACAATGTTTCTCACAGAATTGTAAGATACCAAAAAGAATCATTGAAATATTTAGCAAGATTTGATAATATATATATATAGAACTTTCTTTTTTTTATTTTTATATATAATAATTGTAATGTTATCAATATAAAATTATTTAATAAAATCATTATCATTCTTGAGTTTTAGATACATCATATTAATCTCTGTAGATTTGTTTTTTATTTTCAATTTCTAGTCCAATATATCTTGTAACTAAAATAATGGTCTGGTATTGCATTCTAGAAATAGATAAAAAAGAATAAAATATTATAAATTTTATATAAAAAAAAGCATTTGCTCAAATGACAATATTTAAAAAATTTTGGGTATCTAGTTTTTTAAATAATTTAACAACCCAAGCTCAAACATTATTGAGATTGTCTAAATACTTATTTAAAGAAATAAATTATACTCATATTCAAGATTATTTTATTAACCTCTACATGAATAGATTAAAGATTATTTATTGTAAATGTTTTAAATAAATTATTTGTATAAATTAAAATGAATTCTATAAAGACCTTATAGCCCTTCAAACAGGTTCTAAAACTTTTGAAAAATTTGAGTCGGGCTCAGACTAAAAAAACCACTTAACTTTTATTAGTCAAGCAAAATATATTACCATCTCTAAAACAACTGTATTTTTATATGTGTTTGAATAACAACTCTGTAATATATTATAATTTGTAACTTTTAATAATTAGATAACATTCCATATACGCTTTAGAATCTGTATTTCCCTAATTTATAATGAATAAATAGACATAATATAACTATTAAATATATTAACTTGTACCTTTATAGTTGCCATTTAAATTTGATCATCTAAAATTAAGAAATGATATATCCCACTATAGCGAAGCTTGTTAATATTTTTTTATAAAAGTTTTTTGGCTTATAAAATAGTTTACATAAGTTGCCCAACCTGGAATATGGGTTTGGCTTTGGGCCAATCTCTAGTTTATTTTAAAATCGAAATAAAGCAATTGACGCAAATCCGTTTGCAAGATCAGCTGTTAAATTTCGACGCATTTCGCGTTATTAAACTCAAATTTCTATATAAAATCCAGCCATCATCTTTTAATCACTTCCAATCGAATTTATTAAGATTCCAAATGATGGTAGATGGCAGTTAAAAAAAAGTCAATTAATGAAATGTATGAATATTTTGGCCTGTTTTCTGAAATTCGGCATTAGAGATACGAACCGGAAATTCATCCATATTATTAAAAATATGTTATTTAATTACCGAAACATAGCTATGCTATTTAAAAATAACAATGAGTTTGTTATAAATCGAATTCCTTAATAAAAAATAAAATTTTTTATTGATTAAACTTAGAAAAATTACTCAGAAAATTCCATCCAACTATCATTTTTAAACATTTTAATAATAAAGAAACTTTATTAATATCAATTTAGACCTACTCTTAATAAAGATAATATTGTCATTTACAAATTTATTTTATTTGATATATAATTTTGAAAAGATTAGTTAGTATTTATTCATTAGATAAAATACAATATTAACATGAAATCTTTATGTTATTTACTAATCTTATCTTAGATATTCCCTCTCAAATTGTTATTTATGTCAATAAGGGTATTTTATTAATTGTTTTAACTAAAAATAAAGTATTCTATTAATTGTTAAAACTAAACATGTTATAAAAGTCTTTTATTAATTGTTATAACTAAAAATGTTATAAAAGTCTTTTATTAATTGTTATAACTAAAAATGTTATAAAAGTCTTTTATTGTTATAACTAAAAATGTTATAAAAGTATTTTATTAATTATTATAACTAAAAATGTTATAAAAGTATTCAATCAATATATATATATCCACTCAAATAAATAAGAAGTAATTATAAAATATGTGCTATTGGCAATCATATTTAATATTGAGTAAGCTAAGTACCATGGAATTATTATCTTAAACTAAGAAGTATTCTCTTATTTATTAATTATTGGAACTTAGTTATCTCAACCTTTACATTATTCTATTTCTATGCCTTAAAAAATAATACAATTGTCTTAACCGCCATTTTAATTAAAATATTTCTAATTTAAATATTTGACTTTGGAAAATAAAGATAAAACATAAAATTTATTTAAATACCATTTTTGCGATATATTTCAATCCGCAAAAAAGTCAGGATAAATTTGGGAAAGCTTTTATATCTTGAATTTTATAAATATCAATTCATACGCACATTTACAGAGAATATTCAAAAGTGACATCTTAATACTCTTAGAGTGCTTTTAGTTAATTATGCACTCCCAAAATGGGCCATTAAGTCACATGTGTTAGAGAATGAATGAATGTACAAAAATATTGACATGTTAATTTAATAAATCATCTGTTTTAAAAATATTTTAGAAATTTTATTTTTTGCCACTTACATTTCCACTTCAAATAATTAAAGAGTTTTTAAAACAAAAATTAGGATATTTTTTAAAAAAAATATGTAATAATTTCTTGAAAATGGTTTAAAAAAACTATTAAAATCTAAAAAGTTCCACTAACCCTGGATTCATAATTATAGAAAATTCGTGCAAAAATATGAACAAAAATGAATGTAAAATTTTATATTTATATGATATTTTTTTTTGTATACTTCGCCAATTCGCGTTGACTATAAATACAGAGTAACATCGAAATACTATGAAAATTAAGAGAAATTAAATTATACACATTTTTAGAGCATTTTATTTTTTCTAATTATGATTAGAAATCAGACTCTATCGCAAATATCAAAACTATCATTCAATAATTTAAAAGTTTCGATCTCTGTGAGATTACAAATAACAATATCAAATAATTTGCAAATAATATAATATATGATTTAGGATAAATTACATAATTCATATAATAATCATTTTTTTTTATAGTTAAGTTAAACCTTTTATAAATTTTATAGCATAAGTAAATATTCATTTTCTCATTTTCATATTTTTATTAAAATTTTTTATATATAAATTCGTCTCACAATATTATGGATAAATTTATTCTCCATTTTCAATAAATGCTGAGCCAAATATTAGAAAGATTTTTTTTTCCCTTAATTTCCCATAGATCATTTAACAGCTTGAAATAATTATCAGTTTTCAAACAAGATCAATATAATTAAATAATTTTCTGGCATATTAAATCTGATTCTTTAATAATATAGTGAGTGATATTTGGATATAGTATAATTTACAAATCTTCATTATTTATATTTATTAAAAAAGGATTAGTATCTAATTCAATTGGAGTAGCTTACTAGAAAATTTTACCCTACCTACTCTCAAAAAAAATATATATTAATTGATTGATGTTATTAAGCTGAGTTTAATAAAAAAGAGGAAGGAAGATGGTTTACTCAAATATAATTATTTATTACGCTTATATCCCATTTTAAACCTATTTTTAAATTCAATCAAAAATGTTTTAAAAAAATATTTAGGAAACGATAATAAAAATGTTTCAATAATAGATTAAATTATTTCCCTTTTACGTCAATCCTTTATTTGTCGGGGGCAATATTTTAAGAAACAGAAATAATATATCAAATATAATCGCGTTAATTTTTAAAAATTGAACTATTTCTAGACTAGCCATAAATATTAATGTGTTGTTAAAGGTTCGATTTTTAAAAACTAATAACCTAATATTTTAGCCCGCGCTATAGATTTTGTTTATAGATGGCAGAAAGTTTTGGACATCTATTATCAAAATCTCGAGGTTTGCGAAATATTATTTTGGCTAAAATCTTGATTCAAAATTTAAATTGAGCCAGTTAACAATATTATATCTACCTTATGATTTCCCTAGTTTTTAACAGAACAAGAGATCTGGTTAAATCTTTGGTTATTTTGCATCCTTACCCGAATTTTAGCTATAACCGAATTTTCAAAATTTGACCACTTTATATATATATTTGTCAATATTTTGTAATTGGCTGCTTCAAAAAGATATTGAATATTTGAAAAGGAATGGATGTTAAAGGATTCATTATATTATTTTTCAACTGATTAATTTATATAATTTACATGTATAAATTATTTTATTTTTATGGCCCTACCCGAATTATTAGAAAATCTGCCCCGTTCCAAGCCGGAGTTGCCAGTCAACAATATTGCAATCAATCTTCCATGTCTTCAAGCGTTTATGGTCAGCTATCATCACCAGTCATATAGAGCAACAATCATTTTTATCACTTACATTGTATATATATATATATGCTTATCATCACGAAATATTTCATCCAACATTTCTTTCTTTTTTTTCCTATCTAATTCATCACTTGATTAAATTTTAGATTTCTTATGGTTTTTAAGAGACCTTTTATGCATTTTTTTGCATTTAATAAATCAATTCCCACTATAATTTTATGATTAAAATAAATTTTATATATATCGTACCACATAAACTTCTAACGTTTTGATTTATGAGTGAAAGGTCTAACTCACACTTCAGTTAAAATATTCTAATTTATATTATGAATAAAATATTTTACAAATTGATGAAAGGCCTCTCTATTTTATCCTTTTATCATATTTATCAAATTTCCCGGTTGTTTAACATGATATCGTGCTTCTGATATTCATCAATTATCGAAAATAAAAGAAAATAATAATATTTGGATTTTAAAAATTTATCAAAATTCTTATAATTAATAAAGGAAAATAATAATGTTTATTTTTTATAATCCCCTGAGTGCGAAATCTCTCAGTTTTAAATCATTTTATAGAAATTTATTTTTCGATTTTTTTTAAAAAAAATCTTATTTTAGTTTCAGAATTTATAGATGCCTACCACACGAATTTAAGAGAATTATGTGTAAACCTTTTGAACGATTCTTAATTTGTACCAATTTTTATTATAGATTCTCATATAAAATATAAAATCAAAAAAAATAAACAAAGGCTCTCCAAAAATAATCTAAGAATATTAGGGGTATGTATGTTGTTACATAGTGTTGTTTAACGGCCCGATCAAGATTTTAGCCAAAATAATATTATGTAAGCCTCGAGATTTGGCAAATAGAAAACCTTTCTGCCTATAACCAATTTTCAGGCTATCTTAATCGGACCGTTTTTTAAAATCAACACAATTCGGGTCGTTTAACAACAATATTCTTACACATATTGAAATAATGAAAATTCCAATTTAAATATTAATTTAAATTTTTTTGAATTTCATTACCCAATAATGACATTTTTCTTATTTCATCTTATTGGTAATAAAAGCCAATTTAAATAAATATTCTTTTTATTCAAAAGGTACATCATAATATCTAAAATTTTAATTATTTTTTTTTCTTATATTTTTTTTGAATTACCCATTTTTTTTCTAGGTATTGAATTGATAAAAAAAAATCTATTCTTTTTAAGTGATATTTTATTTCCTAAATATTAATCTTTTTAAACAATCGATTTCTTATTTCTATAGTAAAAAATAAATTAAAAATAATAATTTAAGGTAAAAATAATAAATATTTTCATTACCAAGTTCAACTACAATAAAGTTCTAATATATTCTAATCTACTTAATATATTTATAGTTTTTCTGGATTAAAAAATTAATTTTAGGTCATATTCAGGCTTAAATTTAAATAATAATCATAACTTTATTATAAAATATTTTTTTCTTCTAGGGTTTAGTTTTTGATAGTTTTGTTCAGAGTTGTTAACGCTCCTTTTTTAAAAGTAACTAGCTCCCACTCCTGCTCCTACCTTCTCAAAGGAGCTATCTCCCGTTCCCGCTACTACATTTTTAAAAGGAGCTAGCTCCCGCTCCAAGTAATGGAGTGCCACACCATAACCGCTCCTTTGATTTTCGTTTTTTTAGAAGGTATACGAAACAAAATCATATTTTTTTTATCAAAAAGCTTTATTTATATTAAATGATCTATCAAAATATTTATAACCTTTTATTAGCTTTTAAAAGTAATAAGTTTTCTAAAATAGAATCTAACAAACATCCACGCCTCTCCTCTAAGAGCTGTTTTGCAATACTAAATAAGCGCTCCACAGTAGCACTAGAGGGAAGTGGGATATTGTATTTTTTATAGATATTTTTTAATTCAGGGAATTTATCTGTAATTTTGGTATCATTATTTAAAAAATATTTGTGTGACAAATTTCGACTTGATTTTTTGGGAGAAAATAAAATAAACATGTTTTAAGACAGTTTTTTATGCATATTCTAAATCCGCTGTCAGTTTTATTTCTAGCACGTCAGGTTTTTTATTTATTTTAGGTTATAATGGTCAAAAAGGTCATTTTTAGCCTTTTTGAAGGTTTATAACTTAGGTTCTAATGATCCCTACAACTAAAAAAATATCTTAATTTTTGCAGCAAACCTTTCTTATTATTATTATTATACATTTTTTTTTATAAAATCCTTACTCAATTTTTAAACAACCTATATTTTTTAAATTTACCTTTATTTATAAAATCTTTTTTAATATAGCTTACATTTAATATATTTATTTATTGTGGCTTTCGTTCTCAAAAAAAATTAATGAAAGAAATTAAATGTTTATGAAAAATTAAGCGCGAAAAAAAATAATTCTTACCCTTTCTTCCTACTCGTTATTTGGCATTATTATTTATTGCCTATACTACGGGTTCAAGGTACTCCATTGGAGAATCATATATCTTCATATAAATTGATTAAAAAAACAAATATTCTTAAATACATCTAAAAAAGATAAATATTAATAAAAAATATGAAAAAATTACCAATTATTGCATTTTAAATGAATTTTGCTTCAAAAATGGTCAATTCAAAAAGAGTACAAATTAAAAAAGTGGGTACAGATATCTGATTTTGGTATAAATTGATCATAAATGCATAAAATATTACTAAATACAACTAAAAAAGATAAATATTATCTTAATTTTGCTTTAAAAATGCTTTATGCAGAGAAAATTCAGTAAAAGTGTACAAATTAAAAAGTTCGAAAATATCTGTACCGACTTTTTTAATTTATAGATTTTGGTTAAATTTTCATGGCATAGAGTACTTTTGAAACATAATTAGAATTAATATATATTCTTGAGCATATTTGAAGCAAAATTATATAAAATTTATCTTCTAAAGTTAATAATTTTGATAGTAATTTAAATTGAAAACTCAAGACCCCCAAAACGAAATTCTTTACCATTTTTCTCAAAAACCAATCGATAAAAAATTATAAAAATTAGTAAATTTATAAAGAAATATATATTTAACACTATCACCAATTTTCAGGGATTTTTATTCGATACTTTTTAAAATATATCCATATAAAGACCTAAATTTTACCATTTTTGAGATTTCGAAAAGTTGTCTTTATACGGTAATATTTTTAAAACTTGACGTGTAGGGAAAATTTGGAAAACGGATTCGAACTCAGCGTCAGATTCTGCACCAAAATTTGTTTTTATTTATTTCTCCCATTTTTCTTATCACACAGTGTTATCTTCCTGATGATCAATTTCATGGAATCCAAAAAAATCTTCCAAATCATTTTGTATTTAAAAGAAAGGTTATTTTACTGTTAGATGCCTTTTTAGATTGAAGCTGCTCACTTTTGAAAATCAAATAGTTTTATTTAAACACAAAAGGCATTTTGCCCTTAAATTTGTTTGATCATTTGGATCAACATCTTTTAGAAGTTTAAAATATATTTTGTATAATGGAAATGGAAATTCTATTTCTTCATCTATGATCTCTAAATCCATAATATCTAATACTATTTTTTATTATATATCTATAAAATGAATATTAATATGACTTACAAGATTTAAAAAATTTTCAATATAAAAAGGAAAAACTTAATGTTTTAATTAAAATGATTAGATAAAAAAAACCAATATAAAACTCGGCTAAAAATTTAATTATGGATAAATTTAAATAAAATTTCAGTTTTATACAATTTTAATTAACAAATATTATTAATATTTAAAATATAATTTAATTTATACATTAAATTTAAAGGAGCGGTGGAGCGGCGCTCCTCCACTCCAGCCTTAAAAGGAGCTAGTTCCCGCTCCCGCTCCTCAATTTTAAAAAGTTTTTGAAAAAATGTGGCGCCGCTCCTTAACAACTCTGGTTATGTTATATACAGGTATTATGTGGATGCCTTTTCCAACTATAAAAATTGGAATATAAAATACTCGATTTTTTTGAACATTTTTACTGACAGTGAATGTCCCTATACCTACTACATTTAGACCTCCAAAAATTAGCTATGAATCATATAATGGTATCATTTTGTATTTTCCTTATACTAATATTAAAACTATTATTTGATTCTCGTATTATCAATTCTATAATTCAATTTTTTTTAAGAATATTTAGGATTGAGTCGTACATATAATTTCGAATATAATTTATGAAATAATTTTCAAATCATAGAAATAATTAAATTATTATTAGTCGAGCAAAAAATTTTTAAAATTTTACGTGTTCGATCGGAATTTTCAAAATTGAATAATACCATTATTCGTATTCTTCGGGAATTAAGAAGCGAATAGTCGTAACAGACAAAGGAATCTTTAAATTTAAGATTATTTATAAGGCGCCCGCGTTTTTTTTTTAAAAATTTTAAAAGACCCCAATTTACTTCAGACAATCTTTGCTAAAAAATTTGTTGTCTAAAGTAGAGATCTACAAAAGTAGGCCCCGCCCGAACCAGCCTATTTTTTAAAAAGAAATCGGGTTCGGGTTGAGCCGGGCCTAATATTTTTTTAAAAAAATCAGGCCGGGCCAGATCGGGCTTTGGAAATTTTTTTAAATATATCTAAATCTATCAATTTTATGTTGAATTTTTAATGTAAAATAAAAATTAGATTTTATTTATAGAAACTAGACGCCATATAACATATATCATTTATTTTGAGTAATTATAAAAATTAATTTATATATTTAAATAAATTCGTAAAAAAATTTCAGGTTCAGACCGGGCCGGCAAAACTTTTTTAAAAAATTTCGGGTTCGGGCCGGGTCGACAAAACGGGCCGGGCTTAAAAAATTAGTTCCGATGCAGATCACTAGTCTAAAATTGTTCAAATGGTAAAATTATTATACCCTAAGAAATTTAATATTTTTTTAGATCAAGTTGTGCCCGAAATTTTTAATATCTCCCAATCACGGATATTTTAAATTATCATTCTATATAAAAAAGAAACAAAAATATCATTTTTCTATTTTATTTTTAGAAATTTTTTTTAACCCCGTAATCTAAGTGCAAATATTTTTTAAGTTTTAATCCCTGGCCTGATATCTTGTTTTTAAATTTTAGGCTAGAGTTTCGGATCCACTTGCACGGTTCCAAATACCATGTGCATAATGCCGGAATAAAATTCCAACAGAGGCACATGCTACAATAATTGCTGTAAATTTTAAAGATTCTCTCATCCCATACCCTTCCTTAGTGGAATATATAATTACACTGAGTTGAACAATACTCTACGATATAATATAAAATTATTTTTGGTTTATTTTAAAAAGTTTTAATTTAAATCAATCAGACCATCTACAAATTAGTCACGAAATTTGATATGCCTCTCTCCACAAATTTAAGTTTGTCTTAATTTCCCACAATATTTAATTAATTTCATGACATTCAAAATGTATCCTGAACCATGTTGTTTATTTTGTTTTTCAGTGACGTAAGAAAAATAGAGGAAAGGTGGAAATAATGGAAAGCATATTACAACAAATTAAAAGTATTTATTAACTATAATATGAAATAATCATATCCTATATAATATTTATGCTGTGTAAAATTAAAACATTTTCGAGATTGTTTTATGAAATTATATGCGTAGGAGAAATAAAGAAATAAATTATGGCTGTGTAGCCTTCTATGCGCTAACTTGGGTAGCAAGCATGGCACCATCAAATAGCGAATTAGACAAAAATAGACTAATGCTGACCAATCAAAATTGATTTATTTCAACCTTTAAATATTTGAAATATCAAGCGATTTAAACCAGTCCTACCACACCTTTTTGAAGGTTTGGTTAGGTGACAAAATATTTGACGGTTGGGTTATATATAAGATTCAATATAATAACGGTTCCGGTTTAACGATCTTTTTTTTATATCCTTAATATCCCATTTTTTTCAAAATATAATTACCGCTTCTTCGCTACTCGGTGTGAAAGGCTTTGGCTTACCCTGAAATTTAAATGATATAAATAAACTTACTAAATTCAAAGCAACACTTTTTAACATTTATTTGTATTTTTAAAATAATTATTATACTAAAAATTTGTGTATGATAAAACTATTGCTTATATCCAAGAAATCACGCGGTTTTATATAAAAAATAAAAATATAAAATGAATTATAAACTCTAAAAAGATTATAAAAATTGTTTGAAAAAAATATATATTCTCTATCAAAATTTGTAGATACAATATATGAGTATAAAAGTATAAAATCACTATTAAATATAAGAAAAATTAGTTAACTATTTCCCCGAATGCTTAGAAGATTTTAAATTTGTATATTTTGTGAAAAATAATTTTCCTAGAAGATATATGTATTTTATAATAAATTTACAAAAAAGAATCTTTTGGCTTTAACATTAACTTATTTGGTTAGAAATTTTTATCATTATAATCATATAATTGAATTGATTATAAAAAGATTTAAGAGATAATTGAGTATATGAATATTTTTTATATAAATATATTGAAAACTAAAATTTTATCTAAGATATATTAATTTTTATAAATCTATTATAAATAAATATTAATCATCTTTATATGAAATAATAAGAAAATCTATGAGTTGTTAAAAATACCAAAATATAGCCATTTACACTTATTATTATTATTTTAAATAGAAGATTTGAAATTCTAAGAGTTATTACATATTTTTTTAATGATGCTTGTAAATATGTGAATGCATGAACGGTGGTAGAGTTGGAGGTAAATTGTGATTGTAAGTAGATTGGATGGGGAACCCATTGGCATAATAGAAATAATAATTAAGTGATATGGCATCAAGCTCCCTCATTGATTCCACTTCGTCAAATTTGAGGTTGTTAGGATTGCAGTAGTTCGGCATCAAAGCTCTTTGGCATCTCATTATGAAAGCTTGTAAACTGTTTGAGCCATAATCGTCGTATGTTTGAGGTGTTTTAGATAAATTATAAGGGTAAATAATATTGCCGTTAAGTTTATCGCCATAGCAATCCTTATTTTCCATTGGTTCCTTTAAAATATGTCGGATCTCGTTCCTGTTGACATTCATCTCGGGTACGTACTTTTTTTCGCGTGAGGTAGTTTCAAAGGAAAGCCCCGAAAATGTGGAATAGTTTGAATCTTCGGAAAGCGAACAAACATTATTATCATTATTATTCTTGGCGTTTCTTTTTGCCGATCCATGGTAACAATGTAATTGTTCCATATCGCTTCCATCATTAGTAAAATCGTAAAGACTTCCAGAAAAAGGTTGTCGTCGTTCTTCCTTCATTGGTACCGGTTTCATGGACAAGGCCTTCCGCAGCAAAAAGTTGTTGGCTTTATCAGAGTTCTCATCTTTTTCTTCCGAATTCTCGCTAAAAACATTATCCTTATTCTCCGTTATCACGTTTTTGTTATTGGCATTTTGAAGAAGTTTCTCTCGGCGTTTAATGCAAAATTTGTTCAAGTGTTCCACATGGCCATCCAATCGATTCGACGTAAAGCCACATTCCTCACAAACGTACAGCTTCTCTCGCCTCTCTTTATAACCGTATTTCATTTGTAGCCCGTGCAATTTTCTGTTGTGACTTTCTAGACTGCACCTTTGAGTGAAGCTTTTATCGCACATCTGGCATTTGTAAGGCTTGACACCTATAAAAGGGAATAATATAACAATGATATAAAGGGAGTAATTGAATATAGTAGAATAGTAGGGAAATGAGTTTTAAAAAGAAATTATATATGACTTGTTCTGAATTTATTTGTCCTGCAAAAAGTAATTACTAATGGACATAAGAAGAAAGATAAAGAAAATGGTCGAAACATGTAAATTCCCAAATAAATGGAGGATACTGAACAGTGCAAAAGCAAATTAAAAATTTTATACATGATAGCTATCATACAAAGATGATTTGAATGTTTAGTTGGTTCACATACATCAGAAAAGAAATAATTGATAAAAGTAAAATGGACTAAAAAAAATATTTTGTTTAAACTGGTCTCTTTCTGCCCGGTGTATATACACATCATTTTAACCAATATGATGTTTAAATTATGGGTTATATGACAAAAATGACAAACGAATACAACAGAATTTTACATGCGTCAATGTGCTATCTGATTATGCCGCGATATCTGTAACCGACAAAAAAAATTCCCGAAATAAAAAAAAAATGTACACATAATTTTTATAATTTTAGAAAATGGAGGGAGGAAGAATAGAATTCCTAGATTCTAAAAACAAAATATTCCTAAAAATATATTTTTTTTATTTATTAAAATTAAAGACCTGTATGAGTACGAGTATGCCTCTTAAGATCGAACGTATCGTTGAACCCTTTGCAGCAATATGTGCAGAGATATCTCTTCAATAACGAATGACATTTGAGATGCCTCTTTAGTAATCTCATGTAAGTGAACTGCTTACCGCATATTTGACAAGCTATGACTTTAAGCCTCCCGTTTCCCGAAACATCATTTCCCGTCTTTTCAGCCGTGTCTAAAGTTGTTATATTAAAATTATGATCCGTAGTAGTCGATTGATGACTATTCCCATTGAATTCGCTTTTAATCATAAGGCTAGATGGTGTCGAAGAGCCGTGGGAATTATTTTCCTGTATAATTTCGGCAGATAAAGGCAAAGGAGTTTGGTTCAAATTTTGCAATAGGGGGTTCTTTATGCCATAGCCACCGTTTATCAGTTCAATGGGGACATCAGCTGGAATTTGCATCTTTTTTTTAAAAAAAAAATAATAATTTTATTATTCTATTTTTAATAAAACTTTTCCACCATGTTTTTTAAATTTAAAAAAAATATTAAATAATTTTTTTGTAAAAAAAAATAAGAATAATTTTTGCAGCGAACTCAGAAAAGGTGATTACGTTTTGGGGTCAACATGTCAACAGAGGTATGATGTCAATATATAGAACATTTCAAAATCATTTTTTTAAAACAGGATTTGGGAAAGGAACCCTAAAATGATTTTGGAGGTGTTACTAAAAAATTTATATAAATTATTTGTAATTTTAGTTATCAATCGTGATCTATTCCTTTTCTAAGGTCTTTACCCAATTATAATTAAGTTTTTTTTATTTTTTTCTCCTCACTAGATGAATTAATAATCTATCTGTGAATATAATAATCAATCTTTCTTACAAAAAAAAATCCAGTAACTGACGTCATTAAAATCATTGAAAAAAATATTAAATTCATCAATTTGAAAAACTTGACATTTTAACATTTTTTTTTAAATTTTGATATACCTGAAATATCAAAATTTCTATATTTAGAAAAAAAGCTTAAAAACAAAACACTGAAGCTAAGAAATATTTCACTCTATTTTGCTTATTTTTGATAAGTATATGGTAGTTTAAAAATAATTAAGGAGCATGGCATGTGACACTTATTTTTAATTTTTTTTCATATATCTATATTCCACTAACTTAATTAACAATATATCCAATTTTTATAAAAATGAATTTATGATTTGGACATGTGCACAGGCCACTATTTTAAGATAATGTTCCTTTAACCTAATTAACCTTTTTTTAAAAAATTGTTTCCCATATTTCTTTCAATTTTTATTGTTGGTTTTATAACGTTTGAACACATAATTCAATCGCATTAAAAAAAATTTTATCGTCTGCCTTACTAATTGTAATTATTCCGAATAATTTTCATATTTTAAAGGTATAGATGTTATACTATATTTAAAACTAGACCTATAAAATTTATAACTCATTATATATTTCTTGGTTTAAATTTTTAAATATGGCTATTAACGAAATTGCTTTAGTTTATCCAATGATTACCTTTTTTTGCAAAAGTTGGATTCGATAAGATGCCGCCATGTCAGTTGGTAAAGTCCCTTCCACTTGGTTGACTCTTGGAGGAGTTGCCCGACTACTACTAATGCTTATTCTTGTCTTCTTCCACTTTTCCCTATAATCTTTAATTATCATATTTAAATTTTTATAGTTAATCAACTGTAAAGATAATATTTTATTTCAATAAAACACTTAAAATAGCGTAACTATCATTCATTCATCAATTTATTTAGACATAAATCAAATCATAATATAATAATATGAATATAAAACAGACCTCCTTCAACCTCTTCTTCGACAACTTGTTGTCGGTGTTTGTGTTCGCTTTCTTTGTAAATTTCTTTTCCACCATTATTTTTATGGGACGCTGGAATTAGAGGCGAGTCTATTAATGATGGTGGACCAGAAAAATATGAAGAATCCTCGCAGGAGTCAGATCCGGTCCCTATATTTTTCCTTTTTTCTGCCATGTCGGACACTTTTCCACAACACAATCCCTGATCAATATTAAAAACGGCTGTCATTTTGTTTTGTGATATTGAACTCGACGTATCTATGGGTGACAATAATTCTTCGTATTTTAATTTAGTAGATGAATTTAATAAATGGTTCGACAAATTGTTTGCGGATCCATATACAGCATTAAATTTAAATGATGATTTCTTGTGATAAGAATTTGGTACAGTGGATCTAGACGAATTAGTGCGAGTCGATGAAAGGCCGTATTCGAATTTATTTAAAAGATTAGAAGAAAAATCGTCGGGTAATCCGTATAAATTGTTTAATTTATCAGAAGGTGTTCGGGCATGATTGGTTAAATGCTTTTTACGTGAATTGTAATCAGCGCTATATAATTGGTGGGGGTATTTGGTGGAAAATGGTGGGTTTTTAAACGAACCGTTGAAAGTGAGGGAGTGCTGTTTCTCCTCGAAATAGTCGGCATCATTTAGTTGTTCACTCAAATCGTCTGAGGAGCCTCTATAATTCGTGCTACAACGGGCGGAACTCAATAAGCGAATCACGGATTGATTTTTGACAGATGACGATGTGTTGGTCACAGTCCTCTCAGAATAAGAATCAAATTTCTTGCTTAAATCCAGAGGAGAATTTTCGTCCCCGTTCACTTTGATATTGCTTTCAGATTTTTGCGGTTTGATATTAATTTTAAATGGATGAAGATCCTCTAATGGTGATCCATTCTTTTCGTGATTACTTTCAATATTATTATCAATACTATTGTTCATATTTAACGGGTCTCCCTCCAGGGAAGGGGACGATGATAAACAATTGTAAAGTATGGATCGATACAATTCTTTAGTAGTATCCAACAATTGCCTGTAATACAATTGATCTTCCGACGAGTTCGAGCTTTGAGTGTCATTTTTTTTTCTAAGATCTAAGGCATTCCTATAAAGGTCGGCATTTCCGTCATCTTGGTTTTTATATTGAGCTAGGATAAATATGCCAAAAAAATTATTATGATAATTTTATTTATACTTATCACTACACTGTCTATGATCTCTAAATAATTTCATTAAATTTTTTTAATCTAAAATATCGCCAATATCCGGGGCGCCGCTTTGATAAGTTCCTACTCGAAAAAAATTTTCTTTTCTTATAATTATTTATGCATTATTTTGCTAATTTCAAAGATTTTTTTTATAAAGTGAGCACCCTTAAGTTAAAAAATTTAGCGAGGAACGAGTGACTTCATAATACTATCTCGAAGTATAACCTTTTAAATTCTTTCGTGGTATTAAGAATTAAAGTTAGTCTTTTTTAATAATGTTCATGTTAATATATCTTGGGACACCTGCAAAGAAATTCATATGAGCTTTTACCCATCATTTAAGATTTCTATAGGTCCCCTATATCTGTGATGACTAGGGCATACTTATTTTTATATAAAAAAAACAAGAGATGTTTTATTTTAATTTAGTTGTCTTTTTCTGTTTCATATATGTTTATTAATAAATATAATTATAATACTGGCGATTTCACTTAGATTAACACTTACATCTAATATATGTCAACCCTATACCACACAATGACACCCATCAACTTCTTCTTGGGAAGGGACACACAGACTTCTTTTATTCAAGCCAATTACGCTGAGACCCTATGCTGATTATTAAAAATTGAATATCGATTATCTATGTTAATTGGCTAGTAAAGTCTCCGGTTAATGGGTAATTATTTTAATATATATATTAACTCCAAATGTTACTAGGGATTAAAATATATCTGTTTTTAGGTTTACAAAAGCAAAAAAAAACAAACGTTGTCTTGTTTTTTTCTTCACAAAAATTATTACTACAAATAATACTTATATTTTTTAATATAAAAATCATTGTCACAGTTAGTGATGCAAAATCGCTCCATTTGAGCCTATTTATAAAAACGGTATTTTTATCCAAAAAAATATTACGCAAGACTGGAGATTTTTCTCAAAGATAGCACAAATGTTTCGACATCTATTAGACAAATCTCGAGGTTTAAGTATTTTTTTGAATAAAATATTGAGTTATCCGTTTTTTATACAGTTATATGTCTCGTTCATTTGGTTAAATGAGTTTATCAAAAAAATATTAACATTTTTATTTTTTAGGTAATCAATTTCATAAATTTAATTTTTGATCATTTCAAAATATTGTTTAAAAATGTATTCAAAACAATTTATATTGTTTTCAATATTTTCATTGTTTTTATACTATTAAAAAAAAAATTTTTTCTAACCCAAATTTCGATAGCTTTTTAATCATACCTCACCCAAACCTAATAGCTACACATTTATTAGAGATGGAATGGTTTTCATATTTTTTAGTTTCAGCTCTACTAATATCTTAAATTGGCGACAATCATACGGGCACATACCCAATTGGCCGATAATGGTGCTTTATGCAAGGTTATATCTCATATAGATTAACCCTAACTCACATCCCGGCTGAGCCACGTGGAGTCACGTGCTCGTTAGCTTTTTTTTAAAAAGATATATTATGTTAAGATACAAAAATTTTAATTATATTTTAAAAAAATTTTAAAAAAATTATTAAACAAAATGGAGGAAAATAAAACAATTTTATAAAAAAAAATACAGAGTTAACAAGTCTGATTAATTTTAAAAATTACGATTCTTAGAGCTTAAGTTACAAAGACAAGGTGGCAAGAAAAAGGTAAAAAGATGTGGTATATATTATTTAATCTAATTTGTAAGTAAAATTTTTAAAATGGTATTGAAAGTTTTTTTTCTTCTTTTCTTAGGAGGGTCTTCTTTTCTTAAGAGGGTAGGGCTTACTGGTTGTTATTTAGATGTACCCGCTAGACAGTAAGGGTCAACTAATGAGTCTTGTGAATAGTGTTGTTGAAGGGCTCGATCGAGACCATTCTAATTTAAGCTTTTAGCCAAGATAATATTATGCTAGCCTAGAGATTTCTTTACTAAATGTCTAAACTTCTCTGCCATCTATGAGCAAAATCTTCAGATTTGTGTAACATTTTATGTCTAAAATAATCTTTTTATAAAATTGAGCCACTTAAACAACAGTATTGTGGAGTATTTTTAAATATATGTATATAATCTAGAGGTGGGCGCGGGCCGTGAAAATAGGCGTGACCCATCGTGTCACGGTGGGTCACGGCGTGAGTGTTAAATTTTGAATTCCAAGGCGTGACTGGGCGTGACGGGCCTTCCCAAAATTTTCCCCGGGCGTGATCGGGGGTGAACATAAATTTCCTGTGAATCACGGAAATTTTAATTTTTTAAATTGTTTTTTTATAAATATAAATGTGCAAATCAGCCTAAAGAGTCCCTTTTTTTACGACAAAGACTTGCTACCGCCATCATTCGCTCTAACTACCTAAGTTTCATCTCTTCCATTGAATAATCTCCTATGTCTATGCTCTCTCTCTCCCTTCTCTTTCCTAGTTTCCATTCTTTTATCCCTTACCCTTTCGCAAATTATATTTTTATATTTTTTTACCTTTATTAATTTTACCATATAAAAAAAATTTATTATTTGCTATAAACTTTTGATAACATATTATATCAGCAACTATTGAAATAAAGAGAGAATTTACCCGTCAAAAAAAAAAAAAAAAATTTTATAATTATATTATATATTATATATTTTCTTATTTAATTTAGTTCTTTTTTAAAAAAGAAAAATTTATGAAAACTAAAAATCTTACGCATTTTATAAACAACATCAGATATCATTTAGTTAGTTCTATTTTCTTTTTATGTTTAGGTGTTTTTTGTCGCAAGACTTTATGCTAAATTTTGCTTAAACTTTTTAAAGAAAAGTCAGTTATGTTTTATTTATAAAGATCTTCAATCTTTAAATGCAACAGAAGTGAAGGATTTTACAAGCTAGGCCAAGAGATAAATGTTGGTGTTACATATGGATAACAAAATATAAAAGTTGTGAACCGGAAAACTCTCATGAATACTATAGGTCCAAAAATATACCAAAAAAAAAATTTATGATTAAAAGCATGATCAATAATAATTACTTGTCCATAATCACTGATATTTGACGGATAACTATAAAAATCTAAGTTTTTTAACCATTACAGGACATATTATCATTAAGGATTTTAAATTAAAAACATTTGTTTTGGCCACAAGGACAATGGATGAAAAAAAAGTCAATAATAAAAGTGTAGACAATTCAATTTTAGGAGAATATACAGAAGTAGAAAATACTTAAATAAATGTGTTGTGAGTGATAACGGAGCCAATCTTATAAGTGCATTCAAAGATGACGAAATGCTTGCATGTATATGCCATATACTAAATAATGTATTATGCATTATATTTTTGACAATTGTTTAACTGAAATAGACATAAATATAAATGGTGTAAAAAAAATAATACAATATTTCAAACAATCTACAGCTAATAGCAAACTAAGCCACACCCTTAAACAAGATGTAATAGCGAGAATAACTAGATGGAACTCTGTATAAATCATATTCTGAAATACAGGTGTACTTGTTTAGCAAGCAAGAATAGATTAGCCACAATTGATATCAGCATCATACGCGAGTTAAATAAATTTTTATCAATATTTAAAGAATGCTCGGATAATCTGAGAGCAGATTCTCGTCCCACAATAAATGAAGTTTGTCTATGAAAACAAAACTTAATAAAATTTTGTTAACCTTTTGAACGTGATACAGTAATAATCAAAACCTTAAAATACAGAACAAGATTTCTTTTAAAAGATTATTATGCAGCCACTACATAAGGTAGGCTTAATTCTAGATCCTAATTTCAAAAGACTTAAGTTTTTATTAAAAGAAGAAAATTATATATATAAAACAATCTTAAAAATGAATCAGATGATATGCATAAGTCATTGCCAACTTCATTTATAACTTTCCTAACTTATCCTAAACTCATAAAAAACCGTATATTCTAAATGGTCAATACCAACTATCACTTTCCTAATTCATCCTACACTCATAAATGACCGTATATTCTAAATAAAAAATTTAGAGAATTCTAGATGATTCTGATGAAGCATCAACATCATCGATGAAAGCTGTGAGGATGAACTTAAAAGATTCATATAAGATAAATAACAAGATAATATTTTGAAGTTTTAGAAGCAGGAATATTCATTTCCTTTTTTGAGAAATCGAGTAAAATTTTGTCAGCTGCAAGTTCGGCTTCTAGTGAAAGGTTATTTTCTGTAGCCAATCTCTTATTAGAGGAAACACAATGAAATAAAAAAAGATGGACATTCTCCTTTTTCTAAATAAATTTCGATTTATAGATTGTATTTATTTTTGTTATTAATATATGGATTATGAAATTAGAGAAATAAATAGAATGAATTCAAAAAAGTGTGAAATTATAGCAATAGTTTTGAAAAATTTAAAAACACCGTGAATTTTCGGGCGTGACGGGCGTGAATCAAAATATTGCTTGTCGTAAGCGGGAGGGTCGGGTCGAAATTTTTTTAGTGGTAAGCGTAAATGGGCGTGATTTTTTTATTGCCACCGTTAGCGGGCGGGCCGTGAATAAAAAATTAGGCCCGCGCCTACCTCTAATATAATCCATAAAAAGATGACAATATTTAATTTTTTGAGCATATAATATATAATATAAGATAAATAAAAATAAAAATAAAAATAAAAACGAATTTAAATAGATAATAAAGGGAAGAATCTTAAATATTAATTTTATTGTATTATATTTTTTGCTGAAAACGTTAAAAAAGTTAATAAATCAAAAATAAAGGAAGAGGGGGTACTGGGGGTAGGATATTTATTTTATTATTACAAAATTAAAAGGTGAAAATAATGCATGTCTATGTCTGGAGTGACCAGTCAACAAAAATATTTTGATATAATTTAGTAGAAGAATAAATATTTATATACCCAAAATATTTTTGGAAGCGTTTTAGTTCAGTTGGCATCAAGGACACGTATTAAGATTTCTCGCTTGCTCGGTCCAAATCAATTCTTAATATTTTTATTTGGATTTTTCGGCCCCGCCCTTGAACACTCTTGACTAGATCCAATCCGAAAAAAAAAAATTATATATCAATTATTTAAAATATAGTCGAAAACATATAAATAGTTTATTTTTTTTAACATAAAAATTTTTGAATTCTGAGCCTATATAATTTTGGGCTAGTCCAAACCATAAAAATATTTTGAACAACTTGCCTTACCCAGTCTTTAAAATTTTTGCCCTTTCTGATGGAACGAGCAGTAATACTAAGTTTCCCTTTCCATAATTAAGCCTCAACGACGTTGATAGGGTTACTATACCATATAATTGTATATGAAGCATTTATATATGTAATCTTAATCCCGCCCCTATTGAAGTATCCAAGTGAATTTAAAAAAAAATGATTTAAAATAATTGATTATATTATTTAAAACGATATTTACATTTTAAAAAAATTCGATTCAATGTTAAATAATCTGTTTTCTAAAATGTTTTTGATATTGACAAAAAAAATTGGTCAAATCACAGCCACTACACTAGTAATTATAATTAGAAAGAAAAAATTACTTAGGCGTGATGACGTTTATTTTTTTTGTATCCAAAAATCACAGATTTCTAGATCCTTATAAGGAAACTAGAATATGCCATAATCATAAAGGGGCAATATGGTTCATTTAGGCAGGTAGAGCCGAAATGCCCCACCCATTTGGAAGATTTTGGTGCAAAAAAAATGTGTTGGGGAATCAGAATCAGCCCGACCAATCAATAAAACTACCAGAATTAGGAAACTTAAGGTGACTCCTACCTCTTTCTCTTATATCAGGGTTAAATTTTGCTTTAGGAGCGATTTCTTTAGATAACATTTTAAATAATCTATAATAATTTCAAATATAAGCTTAATTTACAGCTGATAATAGAACGATTTTTTCTCATCGATTATTAAATCGCCAGATATTTCAAGCATGTCCTTCGCTATGAATACGGTCCTGTTCATTTTGCGAAGGATTCAAGGAATAATTTTATTAAATAATTTATTTACCTGTATCAGAAGCTTTAGAATTCCAGCCTTTTCGAATCATAAATAATTTCGCCATTAATTTAATCACCAACACAATTTGATTATTTTTTTTAAAAATAAAAGGTGTCTTTTTTTTTATCTTCTAAATAATTTTTTGAGGTAGAAACAAAAAAAAAATTATATAAAATAAATTTAAAATTTTATTTTTTAAAAATAAAAAAATTTTTCTTGTTTAATTTTTATACTTTTACTATTAAAATTATTTTCTATTTTTTTAAAAATGTATGTATATTTTACCCCTGAAAAAAAATATTATAAAAATAATGGGTTTATAAAACAAAATTTTTAAAAAATTGGGCCAAAAAAAATAAACAAAAAAAACAGCTAAGTAACAATATAAAATAAAAATTATATTATCTTGTGGCTTTTTTTAAAAAAAAAATTATAAATATTATTTTATTTAAATATATTTTCTTTCTTTTTATTAATTTATTCTTTCTATTGTTGATTTTCTTTCTTCTTCTCTTTTTTTATAAAAAAAAGGTAATCTCTAAAAGAATAAGCCAATCAGCAGACCACAAACCCAAACAATTAATATTTTAAGTTTTAAAATATCAACCAATAAAAAAAAAAATTTTTTTCTAAGAGCAGAACTTTTTTCAGTGTTAAATTATATTAATAGTCTTTTAAAAAAAAATGAGACAAGGGCAAGAGGATCATACAAAATAAAGGGAGAAGGTCAATTGAAATTTTTATTATAATTATAAAAGTGGAATGTAAATTTAAAAATTGTAGGACTTTTTTTTAAAGCCTTATTTATTATTTTCTTCTCTCTACCCTCATTCCATCCCTTCAATCATTCATTGTGCAATTGTGAATGGTTTTACAATTTGAACTACATTTTTTTTTTCTTTTCTATATTGTCAATTTTTATACCATGGTGGTTAAAGAAAGAAGAAAAAAAAATATTTTGTCAAGGACATTCTATTTTAAATGATATTATTTAACATATTTTATATTATTTTTTTTTCAAAATTAAATATATATTTTATTTTTAAATCGCATAATATAGGGAATGCAATGTAGTTAGTAGGAAAGTAGGCATGACATAGCATGGCATGACCATGTAAAGTGATCGAAAAATTAAATGGAAATTTTATTATTATATAATATAAATGTGTGGTGATCCTATTTTTTATTTGCGCGTTTTTTTTTTACATTTCCACTTGGAAAAAAAATAATAAATTATGTTAAGTTCAAATATGCCTAAGTGTAATATATAAAAAAAAAATATATATCCTTTTTATTTTGATAATCATTTATTAAATATATTATTTAAAACAGTAGTACAGGACAGGGGCGTCAAGTAGGTAGAATGGAAGTGGTTATGAATTCCGACGAACAAAGTTTTTTAAAAAAATTTGCCGCTTGCAAAGCTTAAATTCTTGAGCTGATTAAAATAAAATAGCAGCATAAGTGAAATAAAGTTGGTAAAGAGGGGGTGGGGGAGGTCGTGATTCGCATAATTTTGCAGATGACGATACCAGATACCACATTTGACAATAACAAGGAAAATAGGATAATCATAAATTAAATTTGTATCTTATTCTCCTTCGATATGCAAATATTTTTAAATAATTAACGGAGTAAATTTGGGGCAACCATTTTTGGATTTTTTTCTTCAAAAAATCAATTTATTTTTTTACCCAATTATTTTAAAGTATTCCATTTTTAATTTAAATATAAATTTGAAGTTTGTTTAATTATTTTTTCAAAAGTTATCGTCTGGAGTTAATAAAAAAGTGAAAATTTGATGAATTAAATTCAACACTTACCCCATTACTTTTGTAAATCTGATTTTGTTTATTATCAAATGCAATTCGTTATTGTAATCTCACTCTCACCACATAGAAAGAATGATTTAATCCCCACACCTTCCTCCTATAAAGAAATAATTGATTTTGTGCTATTGATAAACAATTATTTTATTTAGCTCTTACTATGGAACTTAAATAAATCAGATTATTGTAAGGCTTTTTCTAGCGGTTTTGAAACCGCATTTTAATCCTTAATCGCATATAAACCTAATTTTCTCCATTATTTTTTTGCCTTTCAAAATTATTTCTTTTACTATTTGCTCATTCCCTTCCTAAATATATAGCCATTCTATTCTTCTTAATGTTTTTTATCCTATTATGTTACGCAATTTATAACATATTATAACAATAATTTAACAATTCAATTTTTTTTTTATTATTCATTCATTTTTTTCCTACCTTTAACCTATATTTTTATTTATATTTACCGTGACATTCATAATTATAATGAAATATTTCCTTCTGTCATTTCATGACTATTCTATATATATATATATATATATATTTTAAAAAAGATGCGAAAAGTAAGGGAGAAATAAAGCCATAATTTTTTTTTTTAAATAGTGATTTTTTATTTATTTATTCCATATTCATAAGTTTTTAAAATGGAAAAATAAAAGGTTCCTTTTTATTGCCACCTTTGTTTATGTATTATATGTCCATGTTGTTTTGCGATTTCTACGTACATCTATATTTTTTTTCAAAACGCGCACAAATAAATATCATTGGTAAAAATGTAAATAGTTACGTAATATTATTCATTTATGAAATTATTATAGTGAAGTAAAAAAAAAATTTATTTTAAATGTTTAGTTAGAGAGTCAAGGACAAAAATTTTTATTGGTTTTATTTTCAAATTCGATATAATAAAATTATTTTAAAAATTAAATTAAAAAAAATAAATGGAAAAGAATACTCTGAGTTCTAACTAACCAACTGGATCCCCTATTATTTTTGAATGAACGAAATTTAACGTAAAAAAAGACGTCAAAAGATTTTTTAAAAATCACCATTTTTTAAATGACAAGTGTGGATCGTTTGGTTGGGGGGAAATCGGTCAGAAGTGACCTAGGCAAAAATACCCAAATTTTGAGAATTTTTTTTGGAATGAAAAAAGTAGAAAGTTTCTTAAAATAATTATTAATTTCTTACAAACTAAAAAAAAATATTTATTTAATGATAATGATTAGCCACTACACCGTTTTTACACAAACTTTTATTTTAAAAATACCTACAAAAACTCCTTACTTTAAGATTTAAATATTTTGTTATATCATTAGGTAATGCTCTCCTACATCTTCCCATCTGCTGTTGTTTAATTTGACGTGGATGCTAACTATTTCAAACATTGCATTTATGATTTAATAATCTTTCATTGAATTCTCTTTGCTTTTGTAGAAACCGTACAATCAAATTTTTATCCACGTTGATGTTATATTCTTCCATGCAAGTCAAATGTAACATGTCTTAGATATATTTTTTACCTAATTAATTTCTTCCGAAGATAAAATTATCAGTTATGATTTTAAATAACAAATAAAAGTTGTAGATTTTTTAACCCTCCCGCCCGCATACCAATAGTTTAAATATTTTTCTTAACCCTCCCATCAGTCGGCCCATTCTTTAAAAAAATAAACCCTATAAAAAAAATTTTTTAACTCATATTTTTTTTCAGGCCGAGTTTGGGACCCTTTGAATATATAATCTTATTAAAGAGGATAAATCTAATATTTTGTGGTTGTAGATTTTGTCTTACAAAAATAAGAATGGGTTACATTTTATCGTAATCATCTTTTCGCGGGTTAAACTGGGGGAGGGAGGGACTAGTTTGCTGAGTAATGGCTAATGTTAAAAATCTGCTTAGAATTGAGATGCGACTTAATTTATATCCGCTCTCTTCAAATTTGAGCATATATATTTCCCCATAATAGTTAGGTGGCTATTTTTTTTTTATTCTTTTTTGAAATTTTAAGATGTTATTAATATTAACTTTCATAGATTACTAATATTTTTTTCAAAAAAAAAAAATAGAGGAGAGGTCAAACTACTAAATAATATAATAATTTTTTTTATTAACTTTTTAATAAACATGTCAAAAAAATAATTAACATTGTTTATTATTTTTTCGATAATTTATTAATTATTACCTTATTTTCCTTCCTCATCTCAGCTAATATTTTTCTTTCAAATTCGTCTTAATTTATTGTTTTATTGAGTTACTTTTTGGGTATTATTGCGTGTATCAAAACTGGTGGGTAGTCAGCGCTAGGGGGAGGGGAAGGGAGACAAATTCCCCTATCTCCGAATTAAAAAAAAATGCTAAGTATTGAAATATCTTTAAAAACCTTCATCATTGTATAGAGTTAGAGGAACCTAAAAGTTCTATCATTGAAATATTTCAAAAAGAATGCACTGGATATTGTTTGCATTGGAATGTATGGACATCTCTTTCAAAAATCTTGATGATTTAGTGCTGACATGACAGTAGTGATCTACATCGGGCCTAATTTTTCATGCCTGGTTCGGCCTAATTTTTTTTAAAAAATCGACATGCCCGAATATATTTAAATATAGAAAAATTTAATATTTTTTATTAGCGCCTCGTTTCTTGCACGAATTTAAAAAATATATCAATTTATTTGACAAAATGTAATGATATAACATTTAAAATTTTAAGCCTGGCTCGGTTCGAAATTTTGTAAAAAATATTAGGCCCGACCCAGCCCGAATTAAAATTATTTTTTAAAAATAGACCCGTACCGAAACCCTTTCGGACTGGGTCGTGACTTGCAAATCTCGACATGATACAATACAATTTGTTAAATATATTTTAGAAGCTCAAATAAATTGGTAAAATTTTGATGAAAGATAAAATAAGTTATGTGATTGTTGTCAAAGCCTATCATAGCGGATTTGATGTTCGCATACCTCGACTAGCCCAAAGATAAGCCCCATCGTTCAAAAAAAATTGTTATTTTTTATGAATATTTTTGCGTGATCAAATCATCTATATATTCAAAATTTGGATTTTGAATATAATTTATTATAATAGAAATTGGGCCGTTTTTTTAATCAATAATTTGTATATATTATCTACTTGTTATTATGAAAATCCTGGATACATTATTGTGAATTAGGCCTATTCAAAAACGAATTCGAATCGAATAGTGCATTATTCATATTCGATTCGTTTAAATGAATCGA